TATCAGTTGTAAAAAGAAGGAGTCCTGTAGTACCATAGGGTATGCCTACACTTGCCCCCTAGTTTGAACTAGGGAGGCAAATTAAGCATACCGAAGTTGCTAATGAAGCGTGGGATTTAAATATCCCGCGCTTGATTAGCGTATTCGCGGCCGGTTGCCATTTTAAAAAGCCAGTAGCCCGAATTAACTCGCCCTGTGTAGATACAGTAGTCCGATCCAAAACCCTTCCCTCGAATTAACTGTTACTCCTCATGGCATGAGGAATAGCAGTTAATTTGAGGGAAGGGTTTTGGATCGTACTACTGCGTCTACACGCGATGAGTTAATTCGGGCTACCGGCTTTTTAAAATGGCAACCGGCCGCGAATACGCTAATCAAGCGCGGGATATTTAAATCCCACGCTTCATTAGCAACTTCGGTATGCTTAATTTGCCTCCCTAGTTCAAACTAGGGGGCAAGTGTAGACGTACCCTTAGAGACTAACAGCTTTATTAGGGCATAAGCTTTTGTGTGTAAAACTCACTTCATCAGATGAATTGGAGTGGAAGATACAGAAGCAGGGAAATATATAAGGAAGAAGTTGCTTGCATTAATGACAACAGCTTTATTAGGGCATAAGCTTTTGTGTGTAAAACTCACTTCATCAGATGAATTGGAGTGGAAGATACAGAAGCAGGGAAATATATAAGGAAGAAGTTGCTTGCATTAATGACATCAGGGTGGAAATGGGTCATTCACAGCAGTTGATGTAGCGATGTGGATTTTGAGATAGAGGGAATTGCCTTCGTAATGCATTAACCAGTTGAAACCTTATTTAATCCTAAATTGGTAGTGTTGAGTTTGCAAATTAATTCCAGTTCAGCTGTCTCCCTTTGTAATCAGGGTTTGAACTTCTTTTGTAAAAGGATGTCTACTTTTAACTTTGTTACTGAATGTCTGGGGAGGTTCAAGTGTTCTCCTACAGGTTTGTGTGTTACCATTCCTGATGTCTGATTTTTTGGGACCAAACGGCTGGGGGATAGCTAATGTGATGTCAATTTTTAAAAAGAACTCTAGGAGTGATCCTGGCAATTACAGGCTGGTAAGTCTAACTTTAGTACCGGGAAATTGGTTGAAACTATAGTAGAAAACAGATTTGTCAGACACAGAGATTAACATAATTTGTTGGGGAAAAGTCAACATGGTTTCTGTAAAGGGCAACACATGTCACCAATCTACTTGGAAAAACTAAAAAAAACAGCAAATAGACTAGTAGCACCTTAAAGACTATTTGATTTTTCTTAAGTTTTTCCAGTTACAGACTAACTCGGCTCCCCCTCTGAAGCTTTTCAATCTACTTGAATTCTTGAGGGACAAGAGGGATCCAGCATATGGACAAAAGGGATCTTGTGGGTATAGTGTCAGAAAACCATTGACACGGTCCCTCGCCAAAGGCTCTTAAGCAAAGTGAGCTGTCATGGGATAAGAGGGAAGGTCCTCTCATGATTGATAACTGGTCAAAAGATAGGAATAAATGGTCAGTTTTCAGCATGGAAATATATTGAATGATCTGGAGAAAGGGGTAAACAGGGAAGTGGCAAAATTTGAAGATGACACAAAACTGCTCAAGATAGTTAAGACCAAAGCAGACTGTGAAGAGCTTCAAAAGGATCTCACAAAAAGAGGTGTCCGGGCAACAAAAGGGCAAATGAATTTTAATGTTGATAAATGCAAAGTAATGTATATTGGAAAATATAATCCCAGCTATACGTATAAAATGATGGGTACTAAATTAGCTGTTACCACTCGAGAGAGAGCTTAGAATCTTTGTACAAATTTCCCTGAAAACATCCACTCCATGTGTAGCAGCTATCAAAAAGCAAGCAGAATGTTGGGAATCATTAAGAAAGGGATAGCAAATACGACAAAGAATATCTTATTGCCTCTCTATAAATCTATGGTAAGCCTACATCTTGAATGCTGCATGCTGATGTGTGAGCCTCATCTCAAAAAAGATCTCTTGGCATTGGGAAAAGTTCACAAAAGGACAACAAAAATTATCAGGTGTATGGAACTGCTGCCATCTGAGAGATTAATAAGATTGGGACTTTTCAGCTTGGAAAAGAGACAACTAAAGGTAGGCTACGCACCAGTCTACACCATAAGCAGTTATTTTGACATAATGGCCAAATAATTTCGTGCTGGAGGACTTCTTACTCTGACTCCTGTAACCCTCATTTTACGAGGCGTAAGGGAAGTCTGAGGAAGAGAGCTTTCTTGGACTTTCTGCTGTTTCGACTTAAGCTACACAAATGACACAGCTCCAGATGCGCTGCTGATTTCGGCTTGAGCCCTACTGTGTAGACGTGCCCTAGGCGGGGCTATGATAAAGGTCTATAAAATCATGACTAGTGTGGAGAAAGTGAATGAAGAAGACTTGAGTCTTTCCCAGAACAAAAGCTACAAGTCACCCAGTGAAGTGAACAGGTAGCAGCTTGAAGACAAACGGCAGCATTTCTCCGCGCGCTGCACGGCGGATCTGCGGCACTCCTTGCCGCAGGATGTTGTAACCCCGGGAGCGGACACGCGGGAGCGGTCCCGTGGGGGGGGGTGCGGCCGGCTCGGGCCGGGGGCGG